GTGTATATTTATACTTGGTTAGAACTGGTATGGTGATTCCTTAATCTACCTTGGTTTAGTAATGAGACATTTGCATTATCATAAAAGGCGCAGATTTTGCTTCTGTCATATAGGAGATATCGTTAAAGTCGAAGTTAATTCTTATAACGTCTTGTTGCAGATGTCAAATCCTCTTGATTAATTCAGATATTCCTGTGGGAAATATTAGCACAAATGTTCTGATTTTTGTATGTATCTGGACTATCAGTAAGTCCCCGTATAAATGTTCCTTTTTAATCATGCTATAATTAACAAAGGACAATTTTAAGTAATTTTCGAGTAAGATTGATATAGGAATATCCTCGAATCGAAGTTTCACGTCAGATCACCAATGATTCATCAAGATATTGTTCGGGATTTTGTTTCTCCTATTTCATTTTGCTATCTGGTAGTTGACTTCAACAATTCATCCCATTTTAGTGATATGTAAATTATTACAGTGCGACTTATAAATCTTTAAATAATTACTAGCACACTTGCATGTTTACTGATTTTAAGCTGTCTTATTTCGGTGCCCCGTTTTTTCTAGCTCATTGCAGATAAGCTCTTTTAATTGGAGTCATTTATTTACTTTACGTCTTTTTTATACTATTCCTAACCCATTTTTATAAATATAATATATTTTATTTTCATTATTTAATTTTATGCTTCAGTTTGCCCAGTATGTTGCTGGGTCCTTCCGGCGACCCATTTGATATGCTTCCTGCTCCACATATAATCTCGGCCAGTAATCAATTAAATATTGAGGTAGAGAGATTTCCAGCAGCTCTATCACTTGGCCCTAACCGATTCTGGAACTTGCCTCGACTCGAGGTTGGAGATTGGCTTGTCTGGCCAGGGATGGGGGCCGCGTTCTCCAGCACCTGTTCGGCTGTTACAAGCTCGTCCACGTTGCGGGTCGCAGCCGTGAAGACGACAATGGAGGTTAGTGACGTTACCCATTTGCAGAGCAGCATACCGTCGGTCGGCTTTAACATTGACATCAATCCCACCCTGAACAAGTGAGTCTATATTTACTGTTTATTTTATCTTTCAATTTAAATAACGCTAACTAAGGAAATGGTTTGACCTCGTTTTCGCCACTAGCTTGAATTGTCAGAGAGCTGGATTAACACATCTTGTCCGGAGTCCATAGTATCCATGTGTTGAAAGAGTTGAACTGAATCTGTCTTTTTAATACACAATCCTCTTCCGCCAGATCCTATCAGAGTCTCTCTTGTATCGTAGAATCAATCTCTTATCTCTCTGGTTCAGTTATCTCACTTTGTTTACCGCCACCGTATACTACTCAAAAAGTTATGTTCTAGAATCCTTTAGACATCTTATATCACATATACGCCAGCTTTACTGAGCAGGCCTCCAAAATCTGGATGTAAAACTAACATGATGCTGCAGATTTCCCTATCACTGATGGAAATATGCACCTGGGAAACCTCGTGATCAAGTTTTTACTTCACGCACCAGGTATATGATCAAACCTGTGTATCGAGAGCCGATTATCTCTGGTCTTCACCGCACATCTCTTGCTTTTATCCATAATGTTAAGTCTATGACTTTTTATACCCTCGCCTTTCGTGTATCAACCCCTAAATGTTATAATTATTTAGCTTGCTTTGTCAGATGTCGATGTGATTCACTAACAGTATCTTAAAGAGAAGTCTATTCAGAAATAAATCGCACGCGGAAATTTTCATTTATTTACAGTCTCATTAAGCCTAAAACGTGAGGACTAGAATAATAAGGAGTTTGATTATTAGACACTAAATACTAACGGATATGGATTTCTGGGACGATGAGTTGAATAATCGGACTCGAATTTTCCTAAGTATCCAGGAGAAATCATACAAAGAAATATTGAGGTCATAAAAGTTTATGGCCACTTGGATATTATGAAAATAAAATCAGGAATAAGTAGGAAGACCAAAAGTGGATATGCCTGCTCTCTTATGAACTGAGTTAGAAATTGCGACCAATATTTAGAAAATGGAATATTAAGGTTATAACTAAGTTAAAGACAACACCTTACTAGCCTTCCGACGTTGGTAAGCTAGATTTCTCAAGAGTTTATCGTACAACATACGGCATCTTTGAGAATATGTATAATGTTTAAACAGGAATTAAAATCACCCTACGAATCAAGGAGCGTCAAAGGTTATGCAGAAACGTGGATACGAAAAGATCCATAATAGCGGAACATATTGCACAGACGGGACACGAAATCGGCAAAAAGAATATGGTGAAAATACAAGAAAACGCAAAATTTGAGTGTTCATCCATATCCTGATTGAAAGAATTCTAATGTACAGGATACTAGAAAAAGGCAGGATTAGCGAAATCTTTGCATATTGCTTCAGCAATTCCGGAGGAGATCGGGTAAAAGCGAGATTAGCAAATAGAAGATGACTAGATCAGGGTAATATTTTAAAGATGAAGAATAAAAATTGCAAGGGGGCCACAGAGGGGCAATCGGAAATCAGGAGAAGTCTGCAGTGGGTCTAATAAAAGTAAGTTAACAGCTATAATATTTATGAGTTGATACACATGAGTCAAGGGCATATGAAAGCTATACGCATGACATTATGGATAATCGCGCAAGAGATGCGGCGAAGAACAGTATATTGATTTGATTATAGACGTGATCTTTGAAGTTAAACTTGACCACAAGATTATCCTAGTGCGCATTCTGATTAGTGATAAGGAAATCTGCAGCGTCATGTTAATTTTTAATACAGCTTGAGAATCCAAACTTTCTGGGCCTGCTCAGAGTGGACTGAGTATGTGTTATCAAAGGCTATAAGATATAACGCCCAGTGGCATGGATATGGTAAGATTATTGAGCCATTGTAATAAAGGACACATCCTACGTGGCAAGACGAAGAATGATATGATATAGAGGAAGAGGATGATGTTCTAAAAGAGCAGACTCGGATCAGCATTCCCAGTCAATTAGGGAAATGAGGGAACCAGCTGGGAGTGTAAATAGGTCACATTAAATCCGCTCAAAAGAGCAAATCTGAAATAGATTTAAATGTTTAAGCAATAAATTGTGATAGTGAAAAGATGATACGAAGATATAGGATAGGTCAATGCACAAGGACAGGAGATATACTACAAATTTTCGGTAGACAGTCAAAAGATCGACTTCGTTTTCTATCAAAGAGCAGTAGTATAGTGCTGAAAGTGGACAGATTTTGCCGATGTCGGCGAAAGGTATGAAAATTTTCGGAGTCTACAACTCGATGCTGGAAATTATCGCGGATACTATGGACTTTAAACAAGGTAAATTTATCTAAGTCACTTTTAAT